TTTCAGGCGCGCGGATTGTCTTTCTGAGACAGCCTAGGGGACACCAAAATTGGATTTAAATGACTGAAGATGGTGTCCTAAAAAGGAAAATAGTCCTGCCATAAGCTAAGTGTACTTATACCCCCTCCTCTTGCTCTTTTCTAGTGCCTCTCCTTACCACTAAACTCAATGACTTTTCCATTAGGACACTACTGAGCAATGATAGTATCCCATGCCCCTTTGCTATATATTCCAGTCATCTTTCCATATAATTCCTTCTTTTTTATAGGCCTTTTCTTTCTTTTCTCTCCTCTGTGCCCATCTTTCATTTTCTTAAGCGAACTATCCCTTCACCTTAATGAAAAACAACGTTATTCCACTCTTCACAAGAAAAAGCTGTTGACTTTACTGCTAGGACTTTGGAAAATCAGAATAGCATCATAGTAAATCACTGTTCAGAACTACAGACATGTCTGAATTGCTCCAAATGAGCTTGGAAGTTATGCAGATGTCAAGGTACATTTATCTCCGGATTTTTTAGTTGTTAAAAGGAGTTTTGCCTGCAAACCAGAGTAAGTTTGTACAGAGAACTGCATAGAGAAACCAAAGTTCATCCAGTATACGCAGCAAATACAGAGGGAAGCCAGAAATAGGTGGTTGCATCATTTCCAAACTCCTGAGCAAAGTTAGTCTTTTATCTCTGAAGGAAATTTCTTTTTTTTAAAACATACACTAATGGCAAAGACGCATTAGCTTGATAGTCATGATTCATCTAAATAATATAAATGTACCTGCAGACAAAAGTAATTGCAAATCCTTTAAATACAGCACGTGGGTGTATGCTGTATTTTAGATAACATTTCTTTTAGAGTTACACAGGATACGCTCAGTAAAATTGCATTTTCTCAGTCAGAAAAGCTACCGTTCTGAGGGAACAATTAAGTGGACTTCAAACTTTTTTTTTTTGGCCTGTTTTAAACATGATCAAGCAAAGTTTAGTTAAGCATAACAGGGTGTTAGATTTCAGAACTCAGAACCAAAGAGGGTTTTTAGCCAGGTCTGGTTCACTTAGTGTTGGTGGTCTATGCTACGAGCACCGTGGTGCACACCAGTCAGTCATGCTGGCTCTTCCGAGAGCTACAGGTCCCTAAAATTTCATTTCTGAGCCAAATATAAGTGTGGCAATTAACAACTGACATTAACGCTGCAAAGATTTTCAAAAGGTTATATCCAATCTATCAACTAAGCTGATTTGCAACACTCAGCTAAGTTCTCAGGCAGCTGGGCTGTCACACAGACCTTCACAACGGTCCTGCAGAAATCTCCTCTTTCTGTTTGGGTTGGAGATACCTGTCAACAACAAATAAGTCTTGTGCCTTGTGACGGCATCACAGGATACAGCATCTTCTATTAACTCTTTCTTCTGCTCCTCTGAAATGCACCTCTAACAGGTATCTTCCAAATTAAGGTCCTCAGGATCTCCAAGTTGTATTTGTCATAATTCTACTTGAAGTCAACTGACAAAGGGAATTTAAGCAATGACGTTTCACATCCCCCAACAGCTCCTCCTCCAACATTTTAACCACCTTAAGAATATTGAATCAACTGGTGCACAAGTAAAATGATTTGCACAAGCTATGGGAACTCATTTTAAAAATTGCAATTGTTTATCCTAAAGACCAGAAGATATAAAAGGCTGTTGCAAAGAGGAAGACGCTATTCTCCAAGTCCATGGTGGTTGGGACAAGAAGTAATGGATATAAACTACTTTGAAATATTTAACTTGGGTAATAAGTAGAAATAATAATCTCTGTGATTCCCCTATCACATCCTCAAGTAATTTAAACCACATTTTCTCTTTCTGATATTGGGTATTTCCACACAGGTTATTTTTAACTCTACCTACTTCAGTTTACCAGTCAACCCAAGGCATAAAACAGTTTCCTCTATAATTTTTCTTTTTTTCTTCAAGGAAATCTCCAGGAACCACAATATTCAATGCTACCTGATGCAAGCCAGGTACAATTAGCAAATTTTGAACTTCACTCCTTCACATAGTGCAAGCTCTGCAAAAACCCCCTTTCCAGCCCCAACTCCAGAGCTGTGTTGCTCTGTTATTTTTCATTTTTAAACAAGTTGAACACACAGCCATAGAGAGGAAAATTTAAATGAGAAAGTTCCTAATGCAGTCTAGCTATGACATGATTACAACTAGGTTAAATGTATTAGTTCTCCACATATTACACTAGAGGTCATACAACATCTAATTTATTTCCTTGACTTTCACATTTCACACTCCCTTGAACGTAATTTCTTCCAATTTTCCCTGCTGTCGGTAATTGGTGTGCCACACATCTCTCTTCTCCAACAGACTCCGTCTGATTATACTGGCACTGCATTCTGTGTATCTATTAAGAAGCAGGGATCAAACTTTCCCCCAGGCCCGGTTTTCATTTCTCTCTCATACTTGTTCGTTTGGTAAGGGCATGAAGTCCTCACACATTTCACATTTAGAAAAGTTAGTACTTTCTAAGGAAAAAAAATAAAAATAAATACATTTGCCAGGGGCAGAGGCTGCCTTTCAGACCTCGCATCTTGTCTTGGCTTTCACCTCCCCACGTGATGGGCTGCAGGATTTTGAGAGCTGTCTTTTCAAAGCAGACAGCGTCTCAGTCTCATCTGGCAAAATCTTTAAACTAGAGTGACAACTAAACAGAAAGTTTGGATTATTCTGTAAACAGTTTTAGGGGAAAAGAAGCATCAAAGACGACAAGAACTGAGTCTTGTTTTCAGCTCTACAATTTCTTGCCAGTTCTATTACATTCCTGATCCAGTTCTTCAGGGCCTGCTTCCATCTGCAGTAGCAATTTTTTGATCATGGAAGAGCATCAAATTCCACTGAGTAGCCATTAGTTATACCTCATCTTAAAATGCAGCACAGGATCTGGGCTGTAATTTCTGGACTAAAATCTTTGCAGTTTAGGCGAGACAGCCCTTTCAGTAGTTCAGCCTCCAACAAAATACGCCTCTTTATACATCTTACATATTCCCACATACTAATCTTGTAAAAGAAAACAACCCGGGATCTCTTTCCATCTGACCTCTATCATTTTAACTGCTTCACACTTTTCCCTGGTGCCTAAGAACCTACATTTTGCTGTTATCTTGGCAGCTGATTGAAATCGTTATTACTTTGCTCTCACATTTATAACAGTAAGTTATCTGAAAAGGAACTGTATAGTTCAGGAGCTGTATAGATTATAGAAAGGAAAGGGGAATCCATGGGGATGTCTCTTCCAGCATCCCCTCCTTCTCAGCACACCCTCCTTCCTCTCCTGATTCCTGCTGAATGAACTGCAGTTATTTCACTGATTGATTCCAGCTCTTCTAACTGAGAGCTTTCCTGATGAAACATGAGTGTTGGGACATACAAACAGCATTATTTCTGGTGAAAAGTAATGTTTTGATATTTTGGATCTTTATTCAAAAATCCACCCTTTTCAATAAGGACTGAGTCCTTTATTTTTCCCTCTAAAGTCTAAATTACTTTTCTGAATCAACTTCCATGCATCATTCTACGACAGACCTAAAAATCACATTTCAAAGAACAAAATATACCCCAGTTACTCATGGCTGTGGATTATCACCAAATACTTTATCACAACATCTGCATAAATTGCAGTCATTGCTAGAGTGACAAAGCTGAAGAATACTTCGATTTAAGTATAAATATGCTTGCTAGTTGCTCACCAGTTATCATTTTCATAAACATAAGGCAGCTAAAAATAGGAAAAGGTAAGAACAAGCAGAAAGCAGGATTATTAGCAGACAGGTTGGATTTTTTCCTACCATTTCTTTCCAGGCAGGAGAATAATGTTCATGGAGGAGGAGCACCACAGGCACTGACACATGGGAAGCAATGGGGATCTCTGGTGGGACCTTTCCCAACTGCACTAGAGCAGTGGGACAGGACAAATCCAAAAACCTCTCTTCTTTGCCTGTTTCAGATGGTTTTTAGGAGCAGTTCATGCTCTTAAGGATCCTACACACGTTGAAATAATCTGCCAAATACAGGACGCTATTCCTGCTTTGCATCACTTTTCCTCAATTTATTTCACACTACCTTTTCCTACCTGCTGTGAAGTACTTGGATTTGAACATACATTGATTTCAATTACATTCAAACAGCACACTCTTGCTATTTAAAACCTAATAGAGCACTTAGGCTTTCTGTCTTTAAGAAAGTTAATTCTTGCATCTGCAGAAGGCTACAGCTCGCTGTAACACTGGTGTAAAATAGCACAGCAGACACCAAACGCAAGCATCTCCCAGTGCCTATCAGGGAGAAAAAAATCTGAATTCAAATTAACCTTACGCTGTAATGAAATTTGGTTACATGTCATTATATTACATAATATCTACAAATCAATCCTAGCAAGCTATTTGCTTAAGTGACAGGCGTTCTGCGTGACAGAGTGAGACTAGTGTCCTTCTTGAGATTCATTTTTTAAACAACAGCAAAGCACAAAATAGCAAATGTAATTTTGTCAAGTGACAGCATTTTGGCTCTCAAAACAATTCATTATGCTTAAGAACCAATAGAGATGAATTGAATAATATATATCACGTAATTTAATTATAACGAGGGAGTTGGTTTTGCCTGACAGCCTTCTGGAGGGAAACGTGCTCGAGTGCCCCCCAAGCTGCCACCCTTCTCCCACCTCCCTCGGCCCAAACAGGGTGGCATGGATATTCTTCTGATAACTAAAATCCTTTTATATTTCCAAAATCTTCATTTAAATGAGGAATCTCAAAGCAATTTGTCTGAGGTTTACTTAGAACATCTCCTTTTTTTTTCTGGTTCAAAAATATATATACATCTATAGGTTATTTTGCTGCTGTGAAGTGCTGTGTTTCGTCACAAGTGTTATTTAAAAGGTTTACAATGGGTTATTTTAAGTGCTTTTTTTAAAAAAAAATGGATTTTAAAATGTTGAGTTTTAATGTTTCAAAATTAATCAGGGATATTTCTCCTTTGTCATTTGGTTTTGCTCCACCCATTGTTACACATACTTTAGTGTCCAAGTAAAGCTTTCATTAAGGTTGCTTTTTATATCCCAAACAATCTTTTCTAAGATACTGCAGAGAGAAAAAAAATTTTAGTGTGTGTTTGCTTTTTTAATACTCAAGCACTTGCACCTTTTTAAACAGCACGACTGCAGTGAAGTGGATTGGGCCTGATCCACCATCACTTCACTCTAGCTTGATGTTGACTAAGCATTGCTCATAATGCCATTACAAAGGCATAAAACTAATAGAAGGCAGTAGTAATTCAATTCCTACCTAAACAGCAGGTAATAAAAACGTCTATAGGGGAAACAGCCTTAAATATATTGAGATAAATAGGCATTTCGAGCAAGCATCACACGCCGGGTTATGACTACCTCTGATCCATGGCAGAGCCATCATCGCTGTCACGGAGAGCTGAGGACGTGTGGGCCGAGGGGAGCTCGCACCTCGCACACATCATAACGTCCCCAGCATTTTGCTTTTGCTCCTTTATCTTCCTCGACATCGCCGGAGAAATCCGATCTGCAGAACGCAAACGCGTGAGGAGTTTTGTCCTCCGGTCACGCAGTAATTCCTGGCAGCCAGATTCATTCCTGGTGCAGCTCCATCTGTTCCCAATGAAATTACGCGAGGTGAATTTTGCCCAAAGTGTTTAAAACCTTGAGGGGCCATTAATTTGCAGGAATTTTGGAGGCGCTGCCATGAGGGAGAAGGAGAGGTGTTAGTGATGTAATTTGGGAGGCAATGGATGAGAAAAGGATTTAATTAAGGGTAATGGGAAAGCATTAAGGCAAAGGAAATTAGCCAGTAGGTTGATTTAAAGATATACACATATCTCGGGCCTCTGATCAATTTAACAGTTCAGCAGTCATGAGAATAATGCTGTATCTTGCCTTTTGAGACATTTCAATGCATGTGCTTCAAAGAACAGCAAAAACACAAACCAGAAATAGCAAAATCACAAATCTCTCATCCCCGGGAGCCTCTATTTTGAGGTTTTCCCCAAAGTGATGGCATTGCGAGGGATTAATTGCATTATTAATTTGCCTGCTCTAGCATTCATTGAGCTGCTTGGTCATAAGTGACCTGACAAAATTTGGTTAAGAGCAGAATATAATTTTGGGATCCTTAAATGTAAATTCTTCTTTTCTGCAGTAGTTTGCTTTTTTTTATTTGTCCTCAAGCAAACTACAACAAATTATATTACTGAAATAGTGAAGAAAGTAATGACATTTTCAGAAGAGCTCTATAAAGAGGAAGAGCAACCATCAATATTACCAACAAGCACAGACTCCTACTCTATGTGATACCATTTGTTCAACTGTCCCAGTTAAAAAATGCATGCATATTTACAGCCGGCTTATTTGGGTCCTACTCCATGAGTAATTAATATTATTGATTCCCTTATTCTGAAAGACCACTAAAGAACAAGCCAGACACACATGCTCTGGAGAGAACTTATTGAGCGACGTGTTAAAAAGTTAGCAGATTAAAAAGGCTGGTAGCAAGAGACAGGCACCCGGAGTTAACCAAGTGTGCTCCCTCCAATCCATCAGTTGTCACATCGCAGCGATCTGGTGCTAGAATCAATATAAAAGCCGTCAGATCCACTGCACTGCTTCACTGGGAACTCTCTCCTCAATGTGTCATCATTCAGGTATTTAAGCACTGGGGTAAATCGGAGACAAAACTTCACGTAACTTGTAAACTCTGACCAAAGATTTATTTATTTTGCAGTTTGGCTGGCTTTCTGCACACTTCTCCGATTCGTTCATCTCAAAAGTTATCTCCTTGAGATGGATCGAAATGCTTTTTTTAAGTGTACTTCAGTCAAGTGAAATCACACTTTTGATTTTAGCAGACATAGAAAATTGTTTAAAACCTGAGGTATTTCAAGAAAAGCTTTTTCCTGGTTATCTTTCGTTGCAATAGGTGACCCTGAAGCTTTACAGTTATCTTTGTTTTTACATCTGCCCCTTTCAGGGTGGGATTTGGTGTGACCTACCGATCTTGACACTATTTATGTAAAAAGAAAACTCAAGAAGTATACCTAGGTTAAACTTGGAAATCAGATAAAACTGGAACCAGAACATCTCTAGCTAGAGCAAAGCAACTTGTTTGATTCTGTACCATGTGTTGATTTAAGACGAGCATTATTGCCAGTCCCATTACAGTTATGATATCCATAAGGAAGAGTAAGAGCAGCCCAAAGACACAACGTAGATCCTGTCTGTGATGCTTCTCCTCTCTCTGAGATGTTAAGAGCCAGATATGAACAAAACCACATCCTTATCTCCAACCTCATGACCTTTAAAGTTTGCAGCCATGAATTAAATTATGGAACAGCTACACATGAAATTGCACTGTATGGGACGGCTCTGCATGTTAAGATTAGCACACAGCCCCTTTCATCTCTCTAGGTTTCTCTTCTACTTGTATTGCCCGATATCTTCTTCCCTGTTTTTACTCAAGAGCTGCCCTTACCGTTTCTGATGTAAATTCTTCCATATATTTTTGCAGCTGAAGGTAGATTTTGACAAGCCCGATCTGCAGTGCTGGTTACCCATCCACCCCTATCTCATCTAGGGAGATGACAGGGCAATGCTTAAACTCTATTACGTTCTCTCCCAGGCTGAGTCCTTCTCAGTACTTACTTGCCAAGCTACGATTCCTGCTGCCTGTTGCTGCCATAAACCCATCCCATCTGCACCCTTAACAACATACTCACTATAGTTCTACTCGCTTCTTTTCAATATAAGCGGTCTCGAAACCTATAGATAACAGCACGTGTAAATCCATTGGCCATGGCTCATCTCAACTACAACAAATAGGATTGATATTTATCAGTTCCCAAAACTGCTACTATTTCCTATTGCTAAGACACAGGCATTCCTTTAGTGCTAACACTTTACTTTTACAGTAACCTCCACTATGATGCCCAAGAGAAGCTGGAGACCTGAAGACAAGGATGCTCCCTTTCTACTCCAATAAATATGCCGAGCAAAAATGAAGTGCTGGGAAACAATGCTGACTTATTTAATGTCTATTTTCCTCATTGAAACCTTACTACAAGTCAGCATAAGTTACCTACTGTCCAAACCTTTGTTGGAGGCACTCTTACCTGCTGAGGTTTTGGAAATTAAAGCTGGTTAAAGCATTAATTAGCTGGTTAAAGGTCCTGCTGAGGTTTTGGAAAATAAAGCTGGTTTAATTAGCTTTAACCAGCTTTAAACCTGGTTTGGAAATTAAAGCCAGTTGCTTTCTACAGTCTTCTTCCAGTGTTTTCAGATGTTCACTCTGTGCCTTTTCCTTGCTGGACACGGTGCCCGTGCTGATTCTTCGCCCTGTGTCACTCCAGCCCTCGCTCTGTATCATCTTGTCCTTGACCCAAATCAGGTAGTATCTGAAAAACTTACTACCATACACCAAAAAGCTCAAAAAATAACATAATGCTGCAGAGTAAATTCAGAGCTCTCCCCTGCCCTGTTAGGTCAATGCATTTTCAGAGCCACCTGCAACAATTTTGACTCAGCTCAGTAAAGCTTTAAATGTCAACTTCATTAGGCTCTTAAACAAATTACCTTAAATCAAAGCCACATATTTTTAGCAGAAAGCATATGAACTTTATATTTGCTCCAAGTCATATATTAGTATCCACTCATGACATTAAAATATAGATGAGTAGATAAATAAAGGTGGTGTTTATTTCATGAAACACTCATGTGTTGAAGTGCTCCATTTATTTATTTTTTAAATGGTAGGATGCTACTCCTTTTCCCATTTTTTTCTAAAAATACATAGGCTAGCATGATATGGAAGGGTGAGGAAAGTCAGAAAGTTCACTATATAACTTTGCTTTTTATTCACACTTGCCAGCTTATTTCTGAGAAGTAATGAGCTTATGAAATAAATGAGCATTTTTGAAAGGCATTTAAATGTCTCTTTTGTGCATATAATGCTTTCACATTGCAAATAGTAACTTCAGTACATATATTTGAGCAGCCTTGTGCCCTGTTTATTATGGCTAGTTGGGTTAGCACTGTGTTATAAACCTCTCAGCTGAATTGGCCAGATGATGCCTGAAGAAACAGCCACCCTCGAAGCTGATATTCCCCAACTAGGAACATTGAATTACACATAACATAGCACAAACTCAAACACGGAATCAAATAGCCAACGCAGATGTAAATATTGGCTTTATATTGGCTATCACAGGGAGCTGTTTGTAAAGAAAAGGGGGAGCAAATCAGCGTAAATTCAAGCAAGAATATGAAAAGTGGCTGGAGAAGTAGCCTTGTGGGGCTGGAAAGTGAAGTTTCCAAAGCTTGCTCATGCTGTCAGGTGTTTAACTTCCCAGAGTGAGAGGAAGTCAGTTAGCCAGGAGCAAATTAACCAAGAAACACTTTCCTAATTGAAGATTTAAATTGTTTCTCTTATCCTTAAATCATAATCAGGCTTTGACCTGTCAGAGAGAAATGGGTTGAGATCACGAGGAAGCAGGAGCAAAACAATTAGTGTGTTTTGTCTCTAAGGTATAGCCTAGAGACAGAAACATGGAAGCTTTTAAAGCTCAGAGATAGAATTGTTGAGTGCAAAAAGATTTGAGATATAAAACTTGTTTAAGCCAAATCCATTCGACATCTTTATGCTCACGTAAATAGCTTCCTATTTTCAAAATTTATTTTTCTAAGGCATATTTCTTTGTCACAAAAGAGGGAATTCGTTTAGTTACCCACAAATGCTTCTTCATTTAGCCACTTTGTAACACTGCTCCTGCACTGAAATTCAGCATCCTTGTCTTTTGTGTTGGAGTCCGACAGAAAGGCTGTAATAAAGAATGAAAATCAACAGAGGTGAGTACATCTAACGCACATAATTGATGAGCTGATACACAAGAATCACTTGAAGCCCTGTGCTAATGCACTCTACAAGCAATAAAGCACTCGTATTCAGACACAGAATAAAGCAGTGTTTTCCATTTGCTTCCATACAGTCCAGAAAAAGGGCAATATTCTCAATGGCAAGAGCATCAGCAAGTCTTGTGGGGTTGTTGATGGAACAATGAAGACAAATTATTGTTGCTAAATCTGCTACAAGGCAGTTGACACTACTGTACACAGGCATGGGGTATAAAACCTGCAAGTTATATCTACTTATAGCAGCTTTCATATTTATTCTTGCTTGTGTAAAACAAACACCTTGCAGCTTTTGCACCTCTGACTTGTAGAAGACCTATAATTCTTCCACAACTCTTTCTCCATCACTGACCATAAAACACATTGATTTTATTTTTTTCTTCTTTAAAACTTTAGGACATTTCATTGAGAAACTTCAACAAAATAAGCATCAAAATCTTAATCTCATTTATGTTTTGAATTATTTATGATAATGGAATGATTCTCACACAGAGGCTTTATCAAGAGCGGGCCATCACCATGCAGTGAGACAAGTATCACTGTTGGACAGATCTATCTATTACAGATACTACTTGATCATGGTGAGCATAATTGTGGAGGGTAAGCTTTGTATCCTGTTAGATACAGTAGTTTTTAGCACTTCAGTGGACCATCAGCCCAACTTGTGGCATCCCTTCAGGTATTTATATCCTTTTTGAGAGCTGTCATGTAATAACTGCTCCTTATTCCGTATTTACCTATGAAGTTGCTGCGAGATTCTGACTGCTGCCATCTGTTCCAACGGGTAAGCATCTATAGAGCAAAGTGTCATTTGTATATCCATGTCAAGATGCCAAGTGCAGAGCAGCTCCAGCTAAAATTAGGTAAAAGGCAGATTTTTGTCTTTTGTTTTGCTTGAGAATTGAACTTGAGAACCCTGCGGGCAAATAAGCAAATAAAACTGGTTAGAATCTGCTTACAAAATCTCAGCCACTGCCACTATAATGCAAACGCTTTATGTATTTTATGTACTTTAGTCTGAAACATTTATTGGCACCGTTACATTTTGCAATTACAGTGAAGTGAGGCAGAAAATAGAAGTTCAAGGACGTATTTGAGTAATGACGGTGGAACTATTATTTGAAAGGTTGTTGTTATTTTAATAAATATTTAATCTCTTTTAGAAGGCCAGATTCCTAATTGATCCTTAGGTATTCTGGTTCCTGGACATTCATAATAAACTTCTAATTGCTGGTTTTTATGCAGTGGAGAATAAAAAGGATAAAAATACAGGAGTGCAGGAGATGGTCATGCTACACGGGCCACCCTCACTAAACCATTTCTAGCAGCTTTTGGCCAAAAAGAAAAACACTGTGGTTCACATCAGCTACACAGATCTCTTTCAAAACTCCCTGATCACATGCCAATAAATTAATTACAGTTAACATTCAGGAGAGATGAATGGAGGTTGTTAAAAACTTGACAATCATTTCATCCTTTCTCTTCGTTTTCTCTGCAGCGGAGTTTGCCCATTAAAATCCTCTCTACTTTTGTCTCTATTAGAGAATAAAGCTATGAGCTTCAATACATTTTTTTCACAAGGGTGTAAAGGTGTTTAGCTAGTTTGATCCCATATTATACTGATAATAGTTTCACAATTTTCATTAGAGAATTGGTCTAAAACACTGTGTTCTACTGGATTATACAGAGAATGGTTATCATTATTTTTAGTCATTTTTCATAAGAAAAATATGAAACTATTTCATGACATTTATGCCTCAGGTATCGCTACACAACGATTTTTGCTAGAGGATGAAGCTTATCACTGTTTCAGTGACAGGTACTGTAATATACTGTATACTGAATATATACTGAAAGTACAAAATACTGAAAATTTAAAAGATTTCAACCATAATTTAACATTTTTGTTATTAGGTTTTCTGGATGTTCGGAGCCTAGGAACCGACAGAAGTGCTTTGAGAAACATATGTTCATTCTCCTTTTTATTCTGAAGCTTTAAACATTTTTAATGCATTCCTTGTGAAGAGCTTACAAAGTAAGCCTGGCTTTCCGAGAAGAAGTTAGGCCACTGGCTGTTGCATTCCTCGATGGTTTGCAATTTTTAATTTGCTGAAAGATGAGGTCTACTATTAATTTTTTCGTTCATGCTTATTAGTGCCTGCTGGGAAATGTACAGCCCCATGCAAGCCTTTGTGGATGCGGACAATATTTATTAGCGTTAAAACTTCATAATTTGCTTAATGCAGCTCAGTATCAACCATACAATTATGCATGTACAAACACAAATATAGTTGTTCTTTGATAAAAGGCTCCTCTCCAAGATTAACAAAAGTCATCTAGTATGAGAGGAGCTACAAACTCTGCAAGAGAAAACTTTCTTTAGAGCATGGCAAACAGCATAGGCTCTTGAAAATGCCACCTAGACTCACCTGTTAAAAATAACACAGTTTTTCCACCATAAATAGGACACTTTTGCAGAACAAAATAATAGGTAAACCAGAGTGGAAAATTCTACTGGGAATACCTGGATGTCCTTCTTTTTGTGTCTAAATTTAGCCTGGAGTGAAGCAACATAGTCTCAACACACAAAAAAAATCGTTTCAGGACAGAAACGTGTTGTAAACCCCAAATTCTTCATTTGTTTTGTGTGCATGTGTGTGCCTTTGCAAAGGAATGAAAGTCATAGTAGTAACCCTATAGTTATTCTGTAAGGTCATCCTACACATGCACATTTTTATAAAAAAGCAAGATTTTGCTCTGAAAAATACAGTTGATTTTAGATGTAATCTACTGACTTCCCTACAATTACTGATATAGCCAAGGGTTGACTTTGACCCAGTACGTGCTGATCTTGAATTAGTAGTTTACATCATTGCAGGACTTTGTGTAGGTTACTCTGTTACGTAGACAGCTGAGCCTGAGAAAAACACATTTCTATGTCAGCTTGCTCTTGTGCTGTAAAAGCTTATTTGTCAATTTGTCAAAAGGAACAAATTGAAACAGATTCAGTTCTAGTAAATTAGACTGGAAAATCTTAACCTAAAATACTAGTGAAAATTGCTCCCAGATCTTTAGGTATCAGAAGTACTTCTTTACATTCAAGAAATGAAACAGAAAACGTCACTTGCCAGCCTACACTGATACAAGGGCAAATAAACTAATGGAACAGAGGGAAGAACATTTTTAATTAATTGGTCCTACTTACCAGCTGGCAAGCAAAGAGCTGCCTCCCTCTGCTCTCCATTTTCCTTTTCAAAATCCTGAGCTACGGAAGTACCAAAGCATCAGCTGGACCAAGGTGCATCTCTCACGTCACCCCTCTCGCATATTGTGCATCAGTGACACTGCAAAGTCTCTAGACATCACTGATTTTTAGTGTGGTTTTCCTATGGAAATTGTATCTATAAAGCTCAGTCTGTAGTATCTCCAGTCTCCCAGGGGAGTGAAAATTGTGCTTGAAAAAAGATCTAAAATACATTTCTATAATTGTAACTCTCATCAAGTCACCTGTATTTTCTATAGGTAAGCACATAGACGTTTTTGTGACATACAGGTAGTGAGGTTAGTATAGGAATAGTGGTCATACTGGTACCTTCACTGGATGAAATCAGACATCTTTGTCACTTGAGCATCATTTGGGAACTGTAGACATATCCCTGAAAACAATGCAAAAAACTTAGTGTGGGATATTCTGCTAGTTAAAAATAGAGATTCATGCAAGCTCCTCAGATGTAGCCTATTTCTTTTTATCTGTTAATATTTAATTCTCAATAAAAACACTTCTATATTAGCAAATACATTTATATATCAGCTAGTAAAATTATCTATTAAATGCTCATTATCTGCATTGTTTAATGCATATAGGAATCATCACTTTATATTAAAGAAAAGCATTTTCATCTTGCTTTCTACATTCAATAAGAAACTTTCTTAATCTTGATTTTTATATTCATCCCCAGAGTTCATTATTGTGTTTTACTTTGTAAAAACAGATATAGTTTTAAATTCACAAGCATGATTTCAAAAAAGGGATTTCAGACTGCCTGAAATCTTAGTGATCCGTGGTCATACAGATTTACTAACTAGGTCCTGGTTAAATCCTGTTTGCTTTGGAACTGCTTCTTAGATATAGTATATAGCTATAGCTTAATTTTCTCCATGATTATAGCTGTGATTAGGGTAGTGGTTACCAAGCAGGCTAATGATAAAAAACATATTAAATAACTGGCTAATTACAGTCACTAGGCTTTTTGATGTTTTGCTTAATTGATCCTGGGGGAAATGGAGTTGACATGGAATAATCATACTGATTAGAAACACAGTAGCTGCTGTAGTTCGGGTTTTATTTTGGAGACAACTAGTATCAGCTGCAAAAACATCAGATAAGAGTCATGATCCCATTACGGGACTGTTTTTAATAAGCAATTTGTCAAGGTACATTCATTTTTACTCATATCCAGCAAGCTTATACCATATCTCCTGCAAAGGAGGCATCATTCCACAGCTGTATGTGTGTGTCTGGGGTAAGATGCACCTGGAAGGAGCTAGACTGAAGCACATACTAAAGAGGGAGGTAGAAAAGGACATGCAGAGGTAATCACTTTATGCAACTTCCCAATAAAGAAATTAAAAAACAAAACACAAATCACATTATATAGGGAGTATGATTCCTTATTTACCTCCATCTACTGTAACTTTATGACACACTAAAAGACATCCCAACTGTAAAGAAACTTTGCCACATGGAAAAGCTTGAGTCATCGTTGACTAGGCATTCCTGCATAGAAACAGCTCATGCATTTTGCATTGAGTGCTCATACCCTATGAAAAGCCAGCTCTTTGGAAGGGTAGCAGATACGTGGCAGAAGGAAGACTAGATTGATTTTGATTTTCTGGTGAGCAAAGCACCAGTTACAGACTATGAAAACACATATGGACCTCAAGGTATTTGCAGTACTGGATTTGGGGACTGGGGGCTGTAGAGAAAAAGAATCAATGACCTGGCTCATCCTCACCAAGCCCAGGTTAAAGCTGGTACCATCTATTTGAGAGAATCTTAATTTAATCTTCATGTGTATACACTGTGTGATGTGCTATCTTAGAGCTTATTATTATTAAAATTAAAAATTGATGAAAATGATTATTAAATCAAAAATATCCTGGGAAAAGCATATACTAAGCTATTTTTTTTCTTTTTAAGAACTTTAAAATACTGATTTTATTTAGTCTTTATAGATTAGTAACAGTAATTTTTTTTAGAAATCAGAGCTTGTTTAGGGTCCCACAGTAGCTGTAGCACATAATATTCATTGAAAATCTTGCAAAAATATATGTCCCTGCATAATTAAGTCTTCTAATCTGTTGTTTCTGCACTTTATTATTCAGCAATGTAATTTAGTTTACCTGCCTCTTCTTCAAATCAGATAGAAAAAAAGGAGTTAAAACATATCTTCCTTCACGAGTTGAATAGCGTGAGCTAGGTATTTTCTCAAGAAATGGCTCACAAAAAGTTAATTTAGGGTTTGCTGAGAGCTATTTTATATTTGTATCAAAATTAAGCTATTATTGTATCGATACTGAGCTATCCATATAAAGCTATTAAAATATAGCTTAAGGGTTTGGTACTAGAGTCCCACAGTTTGAGTTTGGTGTTAATGGAAGGATGGTGGACTTCAGCTCCTGAAAAATCAGCTCCTTTTACCTTAGCAGACAAGCAACCTTCAACTGCCTGGGTACAGAAAATGCATTATTAAAGAAAATGCCCCCAAAGTACACAGTAACTTAAAAAAAACACCATCAAGTGCTATGTTTCAGGGGAAAAAAAGAGAAGTGGAATAGAAATGTTTTGATTTAGTTTTGAATTAATTAAAAAGGGTTTTATTAGACAAAAATTTCCAAAATCTGGCATTCAGTGCTCAGAGCTTCCGCTCCCAACACGAGTGACTAAAATTAGAATTGAGCAACAACGGTCCCAGACTTGCAATTTAAGACAAGACCTTTAGGTATCCTGACAGTTTGCTCCAGGGGATAAAATAGCAGTTGCCTCTGCAAGAAAGAAAGTTTTCTGCTATTATTATCACAATATGGGTGCAGCGATGCCCACAAGTGACAGGCTACCTCTTCTCCGGGAATGAATGGCGTGGTCAACAACCTTCCCGAGTGGATAAAAGCCTCACCTCGAGTGATTTCACTGACCAAGCAGAAGGTAACTTGGCAGCCTGCAATAAATAAGGGGCCCCCGTGGAACAGGTCAGGCCGGTACCGACGACCTTTCTGCTCTTCCAAAAGTTTCTTCAGCGTCATTTAACAAATAAAAAGGTGCTGCCTTCCAGATGTTCAACCGGCACAAAACAGGCTGCTCTAAAAGCTTCACTCCTATTGATTATTTTATCAGCTCGAGAGCTTTGTCTGACATTGGAAATAATGGAGTCATGCATAAAGCAGCTTCCATTGTGTGACCTGACATTACCATTAATTTCTGGACCCCGCTGCTGTGATAATTGTCTCTGTATCCAGCAATAAATATAAGTAAAACAACAGGCAGATAGAGGCAGAAAGCCAGACTGGAGGAATACAATCTAGCCACATACCCAGTAATACTAAAAGGTAAAATGCTACAGAGCAAACAATTATCTGACAATTTTCAGTGCACTTCTAACAGAAAAACTGCAAATGAAGTTGCATTAGACATTAATACTACTAATAAAAACTAATAGCAGACATCGTAGTAAAACAAAATTCCAACAACTGATTATTCAAATACTAACCACCTCTGAGCAACCCAGCCCTATTTCTTTAGGATAACCATCATCTCAAAACTCTTAATTAACTTTTAAGTTACATGGGATAGCTAATAAGGAGATGCAGTAAAGAATATATACATACACATGCCCGTATAGATACTGGGCACAGCTATTGGTAGGTGCTCTGCTAGGTATGGTAAAGACAAAAATCATGAAGAAATGATTGAATAAGGCAGTGAAGCAGCTTAACTCCTATACATGAGAAAGAGGCAGAGTAGAAGACAGTATGCATGAGGTATTGATGGGGTGTCAGTTCTTGTTTTTTCCCGAGGTTACCTGGGACTAGCCAGCAAAATTTTAGAAATCAAGAATTCAGCTAGACTAAAGGTAACAGAACACAGTTTCTGAGAATCAATCAGAATTTTTTTGGATTTGGATCATTAAAGCACTAGAAATACCAACGTATGGTGAAGCTAACGACACATAACTTGTTTCTAAAGTTAGAAACCTCACCTGAAACAATTTAGTTGTTGCTAAGTTATATTTACACATCTTAATTCAAGAATGGAACTAGCAAAGATGAAATATGCTCCATCTACTAGGACTTCCTCATATCCCTCCTTAGGAACTAGGAGTTTCATATGACTTGTAATGTTGAATTATTAGAAGGCAAGTGTGTTAATGGTGAATGATTGCCACAGTAATCCAAACCATCAGCCTCCCAATAAATAATTTGGGGGTGACTTGAGCAGCAAAATTGCAGAAACTTCAGCAGTAAAGCTTGGAAGTTACCAGACCTGTTGCAGTTGCTCTGAGATGCTGCCCAGAACAGAGGCATCAAGCGGACAAGATGCAGGAAGGTGCAGGAAGCTGAGACTAGGAAAGATGCCCCTAGAAGCACGTTTTATGCAGGCACGTCTCGGTGCTTTAGAGAGCTGTTTGCAAGAAAAACGTACCCTCACACAGGCCCCTCTCTGCAAAGCAGCCGCGCTTCTCCATCAGCAAGTCCCAGCTTTCCTAGACAAAAGGGGGAAAAAAAACCGTTTCCTACTCTTTGATGCTGCAGGGTAAGACAGACCCAAACGCTCTGTTTTCAGAAAGGATACAGCAATGTCAACACCAGGGAAGCTACTTCAATACTAAGCCACAATTTTTCATTTTAATAGCCTGCAAAGAAACGTCTTGTTTTTCCTCAACAATTTCACATGCTTTACTTAATGTGGCAAATTGAAGTCTGCCTTCCTGTTTCGGGATTGTTTTTCAATGTATTCCTTCTCGCATAGATTCCCTCATGCAGGGTCAATTTTCTGCCTACATTACAATTCCCACACTCCCATTGGGAACCAAGACGGCTTTGTCAGAAGCGGACGAAAGGAGACAAATGGATCTGTGCTCCACTCTAATAACCTTCCTGAAGAAGACAGATGTGCGAATTGCAAAAGTTTCACCTGCAAAATCCCTACTGGTATTCTAATTAAGGACTATATCTCTTCAAGCAAAGCAGGAAGAAAAGGTCCACTGAGAAAGAAGGGGGAGAAAAATAATTGATGAGAAGAGGCTCAACATCTTCCCAGAATCCTGTTCCGAGGTCTGGATTACACACAGCCGCGGTGCATTTTAAACTAGACTTGCAAGGATTTACTCGTATTTGAAGGATCTGTAAATAGCATAAAAATCTTCAGACATGCTCTGGCTCTGCTTTCCTGTCTTACTGCTCTTATTTGGTCTCCAAGACTCGCCATGTGATTTTTCATGCTGAAAAACTCTTAAAGGTGTTTTTTTTCCTTTTTTTCCACAAGGAAGCAGCAAGGTGGAAAAATGCCTTCACATCTACTGCACACACAGCTGTTAGAAGTAAACCAAGGCAGCTGCCACCCATTACCCTGCATAGCTCACCCCAAACCACTGGAACA